GCGTAATGGTGCAGGCTCACGCAAAAGGATGGATGAACGATAGTGACACTTTAGACTGGTCTAATACGTTCAGGGGAAGCTGAAGCGGTGCCCTTTTAAAGAAACCTCTAAGCTGGTTTAGGATTCCTTTGGAGCCTCCCGAACTGAAAACGTGGAGAAAGGATGCCGTTAGCTGTAGTCATCCGTGGCTTTAACTCCCGGTGGACTTACATCAATCCTGCGGCCACTGGATGTCTGTCTCAGTAAGCGCTTTTAAGATAGGCTTCAGGTCAGGTAGATTGAATGGATGGCATCCTTTGATTTAGCGTGTTTACGAACGGTGGTACTTTGAAGAAGGTTGACATTGTTGCTGTTACATAGTGGGGGAAAGAGGCGTCGCTTTACATCATCCCATCAGAAAATATTGTCCCGTCATTAAACAAACACTACATCAGTAATGCTATGGATGAAAATGTGGATGATGGCAATTTTGTGGAACACGACAATGACGAGAGCAGTGCATTTTAAGATGACAGTATTCACCCTAACGTCCCTTTGACAGACGATTAGTTCCAGAAACTATTTAGAGATTCTGACTCGAGTTCAAGTTCCGAGGGATTTAAGTAATTGTATTACCATTATGCATCGTTTGGATATGGGGACCTATAAAGTCTACCGGTAGATGCTTTTCTGTCATGTTTTTCCCATGTCATTATGTGTGCTTGTGTTTGATTCCGTGTATTCATTATGTTTCTCTTACTGCCATCGGTCGTGGACGTCAAATATGCAAACTACAGAATTGTCCACACTAGCGGGTAGTGCTAAAGTGAGATGAGAGCAGAGGTGTGCAGTGAATTCCTGGGTGGATTTTGCATGTGATTTTTGCATATTGCATATAACCTTTTTATGAGCCAACCCCCCACTACATAAATGGAAAATTGTCCAAAAGTCATCGGCTTATTTTCTGTGCTATACCGGTACATATTGGGTTTTTCGCCACCCGAAGACACACTGCCCTCCATGAACGGTTTCAAGCTGGCAGATACACTCCACCACACCTCGTGGTCTGTGTGATGTCAGTCGACTGAGTCGATTTCCCAGCTCAGACTCCGTGGCCAACTTTCATTTCGTATGCATTCCTCTTTTCCTAACAGACATATTTGCTAACCGTTCACTGGGATTGAAAACCACTTACGTGTGTCGAGTCACTGGTTGGAGCGAAGAATTCAACCTCCCATGCGGGTAAGCTGTTTGCTGCAATAACATGTTCCCACATTCTTCTGTGCCGACTTTCATTGCATATCGCTTGACATAGATTTTTCGTTAGATTGTTTCACAGCAATCTGCTCTCCATTGCACTGGTTTGCGGGTGGCTAGCACAGTTTTAGTTTGGCATGTTTTTTGTTTTTCACACTGCCTTTTGTCACCAAATCCTAGTGTTCGAACATCGTCCGCTTCATGCTTCATTGGCTTATCCATCATTCATTTTTGGTTCTATCCCACTGGTACTGGCGCTGCCAAGATTGCGTTCCGTCACATGTTTCATCTGTGTTACTGCGCGTTACCTTGTTGTCAGCATCCGTTTTCGGAATTAAGCATCAGCCGTACACCGGTACGCAGTACAGACGGTTCGCCGCCGCGCGCGCCGCCACCATCAGTTGCATCTGGGCTAACGATAATGTGAGAGTCGCCCGGTCCCTATGTTGGCTCGAACCCGCGTCCTCGGATTACATAGCAGACTTGTCATCCTTGGGGGTGCGGGCTGCTGTTCTCTGTCATTATTACTACGAACAGCCACAGGATGCTTTATTACTCAGTTCTATCCACATCCCCATATTCAACATTTACCTCGAGTTAATATGACCTGAAGGCATGCGGATGAAGGCCACGATTAATTTAGTGCTGTCATCCCCCCCCCACACACACACAACATATAGTCTATCAAACTGCAGTTCGCCTGCTGAACATCTTGACCAATCGGTTACAATGGTTTCTCTTTCAACGCACAGGCGATTCAAGCCGGTTTGATCGAAATTTGTTGGTTTATCACATGTCTGTCGTATCGCCCCTTGCCTGTGCTCTCCTGAGCAGCGTACACACCCATACATACACTGGTTTTATGTGCCACGAGTTGATACCGGCCAGTCGAGGATGTGCACATGCGATTTCCTGCAACTGCGGCAGTTATCCGGACAATCCGGGCATGCATTCCAAACAAATTTACACTCCTTCTCCTGGTTTTCCCTTTCTCCCCTTGTTGCATGAAGGATCATTGACAGTCGACTGGGTGACGCCAATGAGCTTGAGCCAGCAACTCAACGGATTTTGCTGCAGCATGGATTGGAAGACAAATCCTTTTCTCCAGAGGTATGTTCTCCTTCAATCCCATTGAGACAGTTTGCTTTCAGTTATATGTCGTACTGCTACACGTTTTCATTGAACTTTCTCTCCTTACTCGTCTCTTCATGATTTCCTCTCACCTGCTCCTAAGGTTATGTTGTCAACACGATTACAACTTTCGCGCTTTTTTTGCTGAAACATTCGGAAGGTTGACTTTTTGTCCATTCCCACTTTTGCTTTAATAGGACGCTGAAACCACCTTTCACTCGTTCGCACATCGTAGGCATAAATGGGATTCATCCAAACACACACGCTCTTAAGAAGATGGTTCGGTCCTATCTTTCGGATCCCTACGGACCGCATTCTTCCTGTTTTACTATACGCTTTCGCCCCACAGAATTGGGCCAACATATGGCGGGAACACCAGGCGAGCAATTCTGATGCTGTTTAGAAAGAAATCCTCTGGTATCACACTAGAATGTCTGTTAAGCCGCTACATCATGTCTACTGTGTGTGCTCGTTGGCCATCTGCATCGGTATACACCCAGCTGGACGACGCCGCGAGACGACTGGCCAATGACTGCATAATACGTTTTATTGCAAAGCTTGGTCAGAATAACTAAATGCCGTCCTAGTGAATAGGGGTACACTACTTTAGACACCTTAACTGACATAGTGCAGCCAGAGAGTCAGTGGCGCTGATCATTCGGTCTGTTCTACCCAACTGTTAACTTTCGACTCCTATTTACTCACTCTTTCTACATTGGGTTTTTTGCGTCCTACATTCTTTCGATCTCATTACCCACGTTAGTAACTCGTTGTTTTCATCACAACGCGAGTCTAAGCAACGAGATTTTCCGCACTTCCATATGCGAATCACAGTTGTTTAACGGAACTGCATTCATCTCGTCACCAAACTTTCGTCTCTTTCTTATCCTTTTGACGGAGAAGCTGGCTTTTGGTAGGTATAAGGCTCTATATTACGACAATCGAACATTGCTTTGTAGTCGATATTCGATGTCGTTCGCCACAAATATATACAGTTCGCTATCCATGCGTTGATTTGATGACTTCTTACCTTTCCAAGGTACACTGCATCTCGGGCCTTCATGCGCGCGGCGATCATGCTCTCTACTCTGACTTCTCGCCCATTACTGGTGGACTTGATGGCACTGTTTTTCATTTTCAACCACTCTATGCTAGTCGACTGCCTTTTGAATTCGAATCCCTTTGCCATCCCGGTCATGCCCTGTCAGCAGACTGTCTCAGCATGTGTGCGTTGTTGCCAGCGCTGCGAAACCGCAGCGTGGTCAGTGAAACGCAACGCAAAAGAGTATAATGAAACTCACTTGGTTGATTGTGAGCCACTGTCTCTCCCAACATAACTCCCTCCCCACTGCTAACCTGTTTCATTTGGACCAAGAGTTGCATCACCTAAACCTACATTTTGCTTACACTTGTAATGGTTCCCGAGTCATTGTACTCCAGGATAGCATACAGTTATATTGACAGAACCTCAAGTGCAGAGATAGTTGTTGCTACGCAAATATCATCAACCATATGCATCGCTTGTGACCTCCAGTCGTCTTCGAACTCTCTGTGGGATGTTGCGTGGTGCCCACTGACCCCGTATCTATTCCTAATGCACATACATTTGCGGCTCCCAAACGTTCTGCATCTTTCGGGGCATTAGTATGCTCCGCTGTAGGCCCGTTATTGTTTGGTCTTCTTGATGCTTCTATTCCACTGACTCCTAGCGCAGATATGCCTGCTTCTGACACACCACGATAGACTTGTCCGTTACCCAATTTGTTACATATGACTCAATTTCGCAAGCCTCGACTTCGTCTTCCGGTCTTGCTGTTGCTGCCGCTGTTTTTCAAGTCCTTTTCATAAAACAGTCCCTAGTGTTCCAACTTTATTTTGTCTTCATCATTGTGATATATATATATATATATATATATATATATATATATGTGTGTGTGTGTTGGCATATCCCACTCTCCGTCTTTGAGCGTACGATACACTTTTTCTCCTTTCTCATTTCGGATATCATACACGCTTGGTACCAATTTTGCGCACCTCATCATCCTAGCTGACCCCATGTCAGTCTTCTTTATCTCGACACATTTTTAATTACTGGGCACATGGACGCACTTCGTTAGGTCCGATGTAAAACTCAAGTTAGTGCGACTGAGTTGTTTATTGTAGCGGCTAGCATTCGTCATACGCACCATGTCTGACGACCAACATTCCCACTGATCACCGATTATTTTCCTGTAGCTTACGTGGGGCACTCTTATTTCAAGTCTTGTCAAGCCATATTTCGATATTTCTTTTTAGCACATCCATATGCAATATGCTGTTTGCAAGCGTCCTCTTTGTGTTACGGCATCGGTTTTTTCCGGTTTTGACTCGGTGCTGTCCAGTTAGCCTATTACCCCTACGGCAGTAGCGTATTCTCTTGACAAAAGTGATATTTTGTACTCCCACTAGATCCACTAGAAAATTGGTCTTTTCGCTTTACCATATTACCTTTCATTCCTTTTTACAGCATTTGCAGGGTCTACCTACGCACCCGGATGATTTTGTCATTCCCGAATGGGAATATCTGAAGAGAAGGGATTTCCGATCTTGCTGCATCGTAAGCATCGATCCTGCAAGTGCCAAAGACATCGACGATGCTTTGCACATCAAATCAATTGGACCAGGTGCGCTTCTGGCATCTTTCTATATATACACTTGAGTGTCATTGTGAGCCGTCATCATATCCCATTCAGATTTTCAATTTCCGTTTACCGGCGAATTGTGGTTCCGTGAGTAGTGTTCAAATGTATGTTGCAAGCCTTCCGGCCGCAATAGATTGGATGCGTCAGGACTGCACCGCATCGTCGTTTCCTCTGCTCGGTAGCCAATGGAAATACTTGGAGCACATGGGAGATATTGCCCTCTTTCCTCCACCATCGTGCACTCGCTTCCAATCGAGCTGTTGCGTAATTCTACCGCGTGCATTTCACCGCTCCCAGGTGAGGCGCTGATATGCCACTTGTCTCTCTTATCAGCGTCCATCCAGGTGAAACGATGGTAATCGATTCGCTTGTCCAAGTAACTCCCACCTTTTCGGTGGTCATACTAATGAAAGGCTATTGTGCACATTAGGAAGACTCACGCAAATTTTCTAGGCCTCGTTTATCTATGAAAACGATGTGGCATAAGCTTGTTGGGTCCCTGGAAGTTTTGATAACGCTTCAGTGGGTAGTATCGTGTGCTGACGATGTTGAGAGAGCCGTCGATGGCTACGCAAAATTGCCTAACATTTTGTGGGAATACTGAATGCGAGGTGCGGTAATCCGCAGATTGACGTTCGGCAACAAATATTTTCTGGTGTCTCTTTGGAACCTCGTTTGAACTCGAACTGTCGGCTTTAGTCAAGTTCTTCGGACGATCATCTCAAGCGCTCACCTCGATATCTGAGCGTTGTACCATTACTACGCCCGGCTTGCCAAAGTCTGGCAAGCTTCCTTGGAATTTTTTCGGTGCATCCTCCTTTATTGTGATGGGGACTCGGGTGATCGCTCATATTAGCCGTACAATCCGAAAACTTATGTGGAGGTCCCTTATTTGTTAACTTCGCTTGTTATTCTGTACATATAACAATGACATATTTTACACTTTGCTATTTTTCCATTTGCTTGTGCTATTTTTCTACATTGTCTCTAATTATTCTCGTTCTTGATACTACTGGCATCGTGGTAACTGGATTTATCTCGCTTTTGGGCTCAAGCATAATATAATAAATATATAGCACGGCACAAAAGAAGGAGAGTTTAAAGCCGGTTAAACCTTATGCGACATGTACCATAGCGTCCTTTTGAGCAAGCGGTTCCTTATAAATAGCGTTGTATTTTATTGATATTCACATATATAATTTCACATATAATCACCTGCATTTCCGGCCATTCTTTTCTTCCTCTTGGTTCTCTTTTGTTTCACCGTCATTTTACCCGGCTTACAGAGATTTTCTGTCGTATCATTGGAGTATTGACAATTATTCTTTGTCTTCTATTTGGATAATTAATATCACGTAATCATATTTCTTCTTCTATCGTCGCAAGAGTCTCCCGCCCCCAAACCATAGGATGTCCGGAACTGTCTTAAATTGCAACTGCCTGTCTCTGTTAGCGTTTCTGTCACCATCGTCAGCCACGATTTAAGTCTTCCCCCTCCACATATACCAATGCATGAATTTACTCTACCACTTTGGCTTCTCACCTCCCCCTTTCATCTGGTGTGTGTAATCTGTTACGTGACTGCTGCACAGAACGTACTCACTTCACCAATTTGAACGGCAAGAAATCCTCTGTTCACCGTGCCGACTGTGGTGTTCTACAGGGAGCGATCTTATCACCTTTTCTATTTTGTTTGTATGTTGAACATCTCCCTATACAAACCACGTTTATAGGGTGTAAATATGCTGATGATGTGCTGGGATGTATGTCCCCCACTAACCAGGATTCTTCATCACTTCAACTTGGGTTGGAAGATCTGATGGTCTTCATGCAGATCGCTTATGCTTCTAAATGCAGTGACGTAATATTTTCTTTTCTAAGTGCGATAACTTGCAGCCCCTCAAAGCCTCCGATCCCACACTTATTGCGAATGCAAATCCCATACCCAGCTCATCCACCGTCGGCGTTTTTTTGTCCCAGAACCTTTCTTGGTCCACGCACGTCTGTAAAACTTTTCAAAAAGTCACAAACTTTCTTTTTATTCCCTCAGACTTAATGTGCTTTCAGTATCTCGTACTTTAATATTCCGGTTTGTGACCTCTTGTATTATTCCCCATTGGCTATACTTCCCTCCTGTTATTTTTCCTGGACTTCTTCAGAATGACTACATTTTATTGGTGTGATCTATAAAGCACATTTCTAGCTGCAGCGGCTTTTCTAGAGATTCTTTAGTTGATTTGATCCTTTCTAGATATCTTGATGCCTGCAATGATTTTTCCTCTAAGCTACTAACTGGTCGATTTCATCCACTTCACAATGATCTTTCCAAAACGCATTCTTTCCCTTCTACTCGTCCGAAATGCAAAATTTTATTCTCCAACACATCATCGCATCCTAATACTGTTTTGCATTATCTCTCAAGTTTGCTTGTTGACACAGCAAAAGTCACTAACATGCTGCTGGAGCACTTGTTGGAAAAACAGTTCTGCTCTTTTTCCACTTTTCTACCCAAGCATGTATATTAATATTCTCATCCAGCTGTCCGCAGTGATGGTGTAAATGCTGAAAATGAACCCACTAGGGTTCATAAAGCTTATTTTGGCTTGACTTGTTAATGTGTTGTCAAGCGTACGCATGCGCGACACTAATGTTCTGGACAGCTCACATGAGCCCGAATCATTCAGTGCGCAGCTTTTTGCCACAGATCAGGAGGGATATTACTTGACTCCCCATTCCTCATTGTTGTACGTCTGCTATCCTGTTTCTCTTTGTGCCTAATATCCTCTCTCCGCGTTTGTCAGCGATCCTGTCAGTCTTGTAGGCTAAACAACGTAATCAGCTCTTGCAGTATGCCAGTATGCATTACTACCCATCTTTTCGGTTGACCAATCCATATTCAGACCTGATGATATCTACCTGCTACTCCTCATCTCCTCCCATTGTTGTACGGTCGGATTTCGGTACATGTGACGCTATTTCGACTCAGATCTTTTGAATTGAGCATGCCATCCACCAGCATGTCTTTTGTTCTTTGTGATGAAGTCCATCCGTACTCAATTGCTGGCCATGTATGGGAAGCATTCATTTCTGTGCGCAAAATTTCGCTTTCTTTAGCGCACCATCATCCAGGAACTGACTATTACTTTCAGTGTGCTTCTCCTCATTACTATCTCACCGACCAATGACATTCAACTTTTGCAGGTAATACCCATGCTTCCGGATATCCTCTCCCAACATTTGTGCAGCCTGCAGCCCTGCGCTGATAGGCTTGCATTCTCAGTCCTTTTGACTGTTCGGTCATCTGGCGAAGTAAGTTCACTTCCAGTGAAACGCAACAAATTGGGCTCGTTTCCACAACACATGTGGTATTTTAAGTGGGACTGGTCATTCCTTGATGACTTTTAAGCATACAACTTTGAACATTGGTCTCCCTTACGTTAAGGTTCTGTTTAGCATGGCTTTCGGTCTATGGTGTTTACTCATCATTGTCTTTATAGCGTATCACCGAAATCCTTTTATGCTCCGAATTGGTCTCTAACGCCGCACCAAATCGCTTCGTTTAACCCATTTCTCTGTCAACTTGCCGAGCGTATGCGTAGTTTCTGCCAGGAGACAGTTGAGGCGAGATAGTATTGTCGTACCGATTGGTGTAATAAAACGTTCATTGCTGCGCTCACTCATTAGTCATTTATTCTGAATGGTTATATTGCATCAAGCATTACTATTTCCAATCACTGGGAGAACCTTGGCTCAACCACCTCTTTCTCTCTGAGCTGCAGCGACTGATCTGTCTCGGCACACATATACAACCACAATAGTTTGTATCTGGTATACCCTGTTACCACTACACACATGTCATCAAGATAATAATAAATAACAATGCGTATAGGGTCACCATCCCGATCACTATCCCGAGACCCTCACCTACAAAAACCGCGTGCAGCAGCTTGCCCAAGTCTCTCCTTCAATTTCTTCATATCCCTATTCCTTGCCATTGACTGCCGACCTCGTGTTATCACCCGGCTTGGTGTGGCGACATCATCTAATGCACGCCGAGGAACCCGGCCAGAGGACATACCGTGGACATGACCTAGCCAACGTAAACGGTCGGACTTAAGCAAACACTCGAGTGAAGCACCCAGGGGCTTCTTGTCAAAAACCAACTAGTGCACATCAGCACTGCTTACCCGGTGTTCCCACCGGATGTTTATAGATTGGGCAGTCAATGTTAGACAACACGACAAAGTAACACTGGCGCAACTGATGTCTTTCACGGACCATAACATCCAACGTTTGCAATCGCTGGGAGTCCGCATCGGGTAATCCACCGACTGACGATATGCATGAAAATATTTTCTTCATGCTCCTTCTCCACCTCATTGGTTGTCCGCCCCGGGGCCGTTTGCAATCGCTTCCGAGAAGCGCTAGTAACGCTCAGCTGAGATGCGCCCTATGAACTTAAACCAGCGCTTGTGGTGTCGGCGAATTAAGTTTTAGAAGCACGGGCTGTTCACTAAAAAAATTTAGTCTCGAACTTACATGATGTTGCCATCACACGCGAGTAATCCTACGCACTCAACGATTGCCAAAAAGAGACACTCTTTCCATGTTTTCTGAGCAAAGCAGGCGAGATCTAACAGCCACACAACTGGACCGTATGTAGGCAATTTATGACCTCTTTTATCTTTCGCTTTCACACTCGCTGATTCCATTTTTTGGCAGCATAAGGTCTGACATCTACATGCTCCGGACATTTTCGTTCGCATTACAATGTCATCACTTGAATGTATCTGTGCTTTAACTATATAGAGGAGTCAAGTGGACTGCATTTTGTCCCTAGAGCGCCTTGATTGGTATTCGCAACAGGTGTTTTTATTGGGTTTTGTTGTATACTTAGTGCTCATTTTGTTGTTCAGTTAACACACCACGTTTGTACTGTGTGCAGTTTTGTTTTTTTTGCGATCTCCCCTGTGTGTACCATTTCTAGATCAAGAAGACCTGGTTTGGCCGCAGTATTATTCGCTCTTGCGCGAAGCTCTCGTACGATCAAGCCCTCGCTCTGTTAGAGCATTCTCATCTGCCTATCCACGATCCGAAGATGAAAGAGCTCGCTAAATTGCTCCCCATCCCGGAATCGCCGTTCCGTTTGACACATGTCCGTGATTCGCTGATCAAATTAAATGAGGTAAGAGGCCAAGCTCATTTCGGTTGCTTCCATTTTACTCGCTTTTGGCTGCGGTTACTCCATGTTTTCAAGCCTTGTATCTTATGGGTGATGTGCCGGGTAAAGTTTGTTGATGAGCGGGACAGTGGAAGACACTAGAAAGCCCTCTCTTCGCACAATAACCAGCTGTTTAAGTCTTGTGTGCTTAGGTCTCCCAGCCGCGTCATGTGAAAGATGACACACGGGCTCAGTACACAAGCGTTCGATTCCGCCGTTCCGGTACATTCAACTGTGTATTAAAACTCACTCGATTTATAGCCTGATGGAACGCACCGAGGCAGTTACACGACTTCGCCGTGGGGCTGCCTGTTTGTCCAACGATTGCTCATGTGTGTAAACAACTGACCTTGCTGGCTCACCAGTTACCAAGTCATCATCCTTTTATTCATATTTTCGCACTTTTTTGTATTGCATTTTCCATATCCTCCACTACGGTCGAGCTTCCGGTCTAACGTAATTACAGTAGTAGTAAGGTCGGGCTGCATCAGAACCTTAGCTGCTGCCAACAACTACTTTCGCTTCTGCCTGAAGGAACGCTGAATCGAACTTGTCCCGATCTCGGCAAATAGCGCTTTTCTTCCTTCCAATCTCATGAGGCGATGATCCTCTTCCGTCTCATTGACTTTGATAAATCACTTCTTTTTTCTTACTCTGGAGATATACTTGGAACCGATCGAGAAGTCATGATTTCTGAGAGATTTGTGAACAATCGGTTGGTTTATTTATTTGGCAACGTTTCGCTTTTGACACCTGGCCTGACGAAGCTTTTGTATCAAAAGCGAAACATTGCCACACAAGTAAACTAACTGATTATTCACATGTTTCAGAAAGTCACTACTTTATTTCCTTTTCAGCTTTAGTGTCAATTCTTTCCTTTCGGCTGCTGCCTCGGTCCCTTTGAAACAACTGTGTGTTGTACTGCACTCTACTCCGATGCAGTTTTCCGAGGGTATCATGCTGTCAATGGCTCTTAGATTAGGCTGTGATAAAGCTGGTCGTTTTTTTATCAACGGCGATGGAAAGACGCATTCTTGTTCTATAATGCCCTCTGAGCAATTTATTGTGGAACTTTTCCTCGCTTGCTGACATTCACCGTCGATCAGCCGGTCGAAACTAGCGAGGCGGCCTAATCAGTCATCACCACAATTCCCAGATCTCTCGATTATTTGCGGAAGGTCCATTAGTTTATCATGGCCACAGAAATTCCACGCTTCATGGCCAATAACGTACCGTAACATGGTCATCTGGTATGGCCTCGGATATTTATCCAACTGGATCAACACTGCGAATTCCATGCACTTTGCTTTCCACGCTTTCCAGTTATCCTGCATTGTTTTTCCGGTCACCACTATCGGGGTTGACAATGAGGTCATTCATTGCTCCCCAATCGGGTGCGAGTTTTGCCTCGTCTGTACCCCTCAGACCACATTGCTTGCCTGGGTCTCCCAGCCGGCTCAGCATAAAAGCGTTCGATTCTCGATTCCGCCGTTCCTCTACATTCGGCTGTTTTACAACTCACTCGATCGATAGCGTGATCTAATGCACCGAGGCAGACACACGACTTCGCCGTGACAGTATGGGGCCTACTGTTTGTCCAACGATTACTGACGTATGTAAGCGACTGACGCTGCTTGCTCACCAGCTACCACCACATTAAGATCGTATGCTTTTGACATGGTGCAGACACTTTGACTCGGTATCCTTGTTTATAGTATTTAGATTCTACTCTACAGCCCCCATTTCCATCTCTTATTATTCCCCCTTCCCTAAGCTATTGCGATCGTACAGCTGGTAGGTATCGGATCAAATTGCTGGTGTACTGCTGTTACTGATAATGCTGATCGATCGCTGAGATACGTATCATTCTCCAGTTTGCGGCGTCTTATTCAGGTGACGGAGCTTATGTGGTGCTGCCTCCGGTACTTTGCTGTTCGCATCTACTCGATTTAGTTGTGTTAGACAAGTCGTATGCATCACTGTCGAATAACAGGCTTTGCCTGACATTTACTACTCCAATTTGAGGTCAACATACATTTAATTTCTGCTACCGCCGCCGTCCGACTGATCTTACTTTGCATTCAAGCTATTTTCCCTGTTGCAGAGCTCACATAGCTCCGCAAAACCTTCGCGGAGTTCGCCTGTGATCAATGCAGCAATACTGTACAGTGTGCATCTCACAGCTGTCTTGTCGTCATTGAAACAGCTGTTATGTGTCAACTCAAGCTACGTAGACTCAACCTAAGGTCTCCCCAGTGACACTTATCTATCTATCGTCGCAACCGCCGGGACCCAACGGCGCTCTCCTCAAGACACCGCCACATCGTAGCAACTCAGCTCACCTTCCTCCATAGTTATGGGTATTATACTGCTACTATACTATTGAACTATAAACATACATGTGGCATGTTTCACTTTTGACTGAGTCAGTAAACGGACTTTTGCTATCGGCCATTCATTCTTTTCTATGTCTTGGTGCACTCGGGTGTTATGCGTGTTTCATCTTCATTTCTAACTCGCGTGTGCACACCCCTGGCGGCTAGGTCTCTTTGACTGTACCTATGCGAATCCAGTTGGCAACTCGATGTGTGAACTACCATCGATGAAGAGCATTTCGTCCGTTCAGAATAGGAGTCGAAGCAACTAGGACAGCTACTATCACGTATAGCATGTACCCGGCTATGAGCGTATCACACTACACCACAGATCTTCCTGTTGCTACTTTAACTTCCGCATATCCGCTGCGTACTTTTGTGTAAACCGCTCGACATTCGTCCCTCTCACCTCTCTTGTTGGGGCTATTTGTGTGCGGGACCATATGGTTCGTTGCATCCATTTGGCCGCCGCTTACGCTCGCCAGTCATTTCGCCGTCATCATAGCTTCACCTTCGTGCAGGAAACCATCGGGACAGAGGCATGTGTGTGCATTTTTCCACTTCCATAAACACCTGATTAGCGCCTCTACCATTCTTTCTAGAGTGACTATTTTCTATTCCACACATATCATCATTTACGTTCCGAAATTTTGTATAAAAGCGTCTTCCATCACAATCGATATTTCTAACCGAAAGTACGCAATGCATTTAGTGGGGAGGATGCGCCGCATCGGTAGACTATTAATCAGGCTCTATTTGTTCATTGACTGAAACTTCTACACCCACTAAATCCGATAACTCGCCTGGATCAAGTGCTTTTCATGGCCTAGCCGCCACTCCTTTATTATACACGACGCTCTATTATTATTATTATTATTATTATTGTTATACTGTATTCACGTCTCGGCACGATTACAAGACGAGCTCTGCTCTCACCCTACGCACGCTATTCTGAATCACTTTCCTCTTTGTTTCCGTCTCATTTAGATTGCTAGGAATTTACGAAAACAGCGTATTGCGAACGGCGCCTTGACTCTGCAGAAATGCAAAATTGAATTCGACCTTCCCTCAGCTACTTTTGATCCAGATCCCACAGAATTTGTCGAGTGAGTTAGCGTTCCAGTTTCTCTGGCCTTTCACCTCTCGCTCTCTCTCTCGTCTCCATTCCATCGCTGCTACTGCCACTACTTTTTGGGTCACGAACTAACCCGCTCAACTTGCAATCTCTGTCCGGTTGTGTTCCAACTCCAATGGGAACACCGGGTAAGCAGTGATGGGGTTCGCCATTTTGGCTTTACCAATAGAACCTTTTATGCCTCGTTGTATTGTCGAGTATACTTAGACCGCTTACGTTATCTAGGTTATCGTGTCTTCCGTACCCCGGTTGACCGATATTCTTCACTTCGTTACTACTACACGTAGTTTCGCGAAATCGCGTGATGATCAGTTGATGTTGTGGAATAAAAGCATGAAGAGTTCTACCGAAATGCATGCTCCTACGGATGGTGAGGGACTGGGAATGTCTCACACAGTTGGTTCGGTACCCTATTAGAGATGGTGCAGTCGCTCAGTCAGTGGCACTGCTGCGTACGGTTTATAAAATCTAGCTGTTAACTTTCATTCCATCCCGGCTTGGTTTACGCACTCCTCTGCTAAATACTGTTTTTGTTTTCTGTTTGCCTCGTTTTCTCACCATTTTAGTCTTTATCGTCTTGGCAACATACTTCAGGGCGCGGCTCGTATTTATCCAACTGAACTGAAACCGACTTAGCTCTTTGTAAACTCTTTTACATTAGGTAATCTTACTCATCAGAAAATCGAAGGGCAACCTTTTAATGCTCCGTTACACCTCTGATCAAACGATGCGACATCACCTATCGTCTTGTTGTTTTTCCTCCTTCATTCTCTGTCGATTTTTTGGGTCGTTAATGAATGCGTTAGCTCACCCTCAGTGACTTGGTAGAACTCTTTCTATCGGTAGCATCCATGCCGCGTCCACGGTTAAACAGCCGTGTTCCTAATACCACCTAGGTAACAACACGCAACAACGGTAAAACAATGAGGTTGAATGTAAACAGAATACAAGGATTGCGTCAAATTAATCGGGATGAAATGGAAGTTAATAGCTGGAATCAGTAAACCATAATGCAAGCACGTCACTGACTACGCTATGTCCGATGGAGCCTCGTTGAATTGATGCAGACTATCCCGAGGTCTCATCTACCGGGACGGAACCCACTAGCATCCCCAAGCCTTTTGACCAATATTTTTTGCCACGTCATCGACTGACCACTGCGCGATTTGACCTGTCTTGACGTGGCGACAGGATTTAATGCACGCCAAGGAAAGAGATTGCCAGCCAGCGTAGACATCGGCAAACACTCCGTTACGGCGGCAGTTTTTTGTTACCAAGATCTTACTGGCGTACTACAATATTGCTCACCCGTTGTTCACACTAGATGTGAGCATTATTGCGCAGGCAAATCTTTTAAATATCTTCACTGACCGTGGCCGAAACCATTACGCGCTTGCCTTGTTATCCGGAGGTCGCCAGTTCAAATCCGCGCAGATGCAGGTGACATCGCGATACACACAGCCTACGCGCAACCAGCGGTGTTTGTGTGGCAGCGAAGCGTCCGTACGGAGTGCCGGCGTTGTGCTGCTGCCTTCAACGCGATATTGCTCGATTCCCTATCCATCCAGCGACATGTCATCGTTGCTCACCGTACCTTCGTTTGATAGGCTAAAATCCCGCCACCCTCTTAAATTGTTGGTATTATAAAAAAGCCACACGGTGTTTATGATACCTAAGGTAGCCTGCTAAGTGAGGTGGCCACCAGTGGTAATACAACTGTTGAGGTAAGTGAGCAGATTAATCATCTCTAATGGCTATTTACTGGTAGCATAACCCGATGGCGTAGCGACTCAGTAAGTAACTAAATTACAGAATAGTACTAGGGGGAGTTGAATGGTATAGGTAGAAATGCATTACACTTAGGCTCACTCAGACAGGCATCACACTCTCGGCAAAGCACTGTACAGTCGTCTCTTCCTTTCGGGAATAGTCAGCAATGCACACTTGATCTGTCCCTTTGTAGTGCTCCAACCCACATCTCGACTGTTACCAATCTGTGATTAAGGTCACAGAGCGTACTCACGTCTGGCCACACGAATCTTCAGACACCGCAAACTGGGCGGGCAAATCGGTATCCCACCCTTTTCCATAACGCGTTAGAGGCGATTTCAATCTGTGTCCAATTCGTCCACTTCATTTTTCATTGATGTCTGCTGTTTTGTAATTGGACTAGACTTAACACGGTACTGTCGCGTTTTCACAAAATACCTAATACTTCTCCCTGCTACTCACTTAATGCTCGGTAGGCGCTTTAGCTACATGCACGCCACCTCGAATTCTGGCGGCTTGCAAATGAACTCGTTGCTCTGGGGGGCAGCCCTGTCCCCTGCATGTTTATAACATGCATGACGGTGGAGGATGAGCTGCTCTATCTCGCAGTTAGATATCAGCCATAGCGGTTCGCTGCTGTCACCCATGGCTCGGTGGCTTAATTCGGTAGTTCGCGAGAGTAAGGTGGCGGGTTGCAATCCGTAAGGATTCGGCGAGTGCGCGCTACTGACGAGTCCCAATAGGACAAAATGGCTATCTAGCACTTTGTTCGATTTGTGGTAGCTGTCTATCTGAGTCTAGCTGCGATGAATCTTCACAAAAAACCCACATTCCTTCTATAGTCATCTCTTGTTATGCGTTGCTGTAGTCGTAATCTTTATCCAAGTCGCAATTCTCCACCTTGCCCTACCGACGCATAGGATACTTTGTACTTATTTGAAGTTCCACGCACCGGCTTACTTTCTTTGTGTTACGCTGCTGTTCTGTCGCATTTAACCAACTTTTTGTTGTTATATTCCCCCCCTCCTTCGTTTACAGCACGGATGCGATACTCCACAACCGTGGAACCGTTTGGCCCCGTGGTTACTCTGTCCAGGCACCCAGCATTAGCCATCAGCTAATTGAGGAGTGGATGCTAGCGGCTAATCAAGCAGTTGCCAGGCGCCTGTTTGCCGCATATAAGGACCACCTGACCACTACAAAACCCCATTGGCCCGGTGCTCTTCTCCGTCGCCACAATCCGCCTTCTAAAGAACATATCAAGGAGATTGTAAGTTACTTACCCGCTGCTGTTTCTACTCTTAGTCGATAACTGCCATATTGTATCGTCTCGCACCACTTCGTCTAGCCTAATTACTTCGTCTTCGTGCTCTCGTTTTAGGCCAACCTCTTATCCTCCGATGGGATAACCCTGCAAGACGGGAGTTCCAGATCCATTTCGGTTAGTGCGTGCTTCTTTTTCTCTCACATATTTCCAAGCTGGTTTTTTGTCACTTCTCACCTCACAGTTAGTCTTCTGATTCAACGCCGAAGCCTCTAATACAACCAGCTACTCCCCAATGCTCGCTTAGTGCATTCGTGATATGGATGTTGAGTACTGTACTCTCTTTGGCATTTCAGTTTCATCAGAGAGGTTAAAAATCAAAGTCTAACTAACCGTATTTCTTGACTGAATGCGATTACATTTTAAGTTAAAACAGGAGTCTCTCCGTGCTTTCCAATCATCCCATTGTATTATATTTACTGATTGGCAGCCACAACGCAGCGTATTTGGCTGTCTGTTCACGCGGCCCATCATGTACTGTCTATTTTGTCGATCCATTATCGCGCCATGCATTAGCTTTCGTACGATCTGGTCACCGAGCACTTGGAAGGTATCCCTAATGCAGCCAGCATGAAATATCAGGTGCCTTGCTTGCAGTAAGTGGTTTTCCCCTGGTCTGCTCACCTAACTTTACCAGTTTTTTCGGTTTGCTAGTATTCTGAATTGACATTATATACGAGCGTTTTTCTTGGTTTTCGTCACCGAAATGTTCGATGCGGTTTTTCCCACTTAACTAACGATACAATCCACCTCCGATTCTTACTTCCAGGCCACTTTATATCGTCATAACGAGAGGCTTATAGAATCTGGATGCAGCGACAAAGAACGCAAGGCGGTAATGGACGCTTTGTCTCACCTCATCTACCTCCGGATGAAGGTGTGTTTTCTACTTTGCAAGGCCTTCTTTTCTCTAACATTGTTCTTACATTGGAGTTGTTTACTCGATCACACAATCGTACTTCTCCTTACCGCAGCACGGATTGCCTTAGATTGTGATAGTAACTAACTCTTCTCTCCGAGAAATCTAACAGGGTTCCAAATTATTAAGGAACAATTTCACATGAGATCGGCTGTGCAAAACTATTGTACTACATCAATCTCACACTTCCGACCTTTGATGAGTTCGGCCAACTGTTATCCGCTTCATCATAGTCTCAGAGGGTCTGAGTCATGTGCCACTGTTCCAGACGTTAGCACCCATGCTTCTCACGTGATCAGCAACGATCCCGTGTGGACTAGTGATACTGGGAGGTTGCTCGCATCTGTTCGTCTTGAAAACACGTTCCACGTTTTCACTGGTTCGAACATCTGACCATAGCTCATAGAACCACCTTATCACTCTCACAGAACTACTGCAATTTTCGACTTTGACAGCCTTGTTCTGCGTACTTGGTTTGGATATATTACATTGTAGTGCAACCATAATCCACCTTATGCATAACTCGAGACGTTACTGGTTATGACTAGCAGTCGGCACCCATTGGTGCTGTTATTTGCAGAGTAATGGCTAATTATGACGCTAGTCAGTGAAAGCCGCAAGGAAGCTGTCTCATCTATGTAACTTGCACAATAACCATTTGTTTGTGACCTTTAGTTGTTGACAAGATTTGGGCACCTTAACCTTGAATGTTTGTTTAGGGCATAAGAGTTTTACGCTAGGTCCCACTTCTCTATCTCACTTTGTTCCATGGGTCATAGTGGATGTACCGCGGCGAAGCATCAGTCCAAATGGCTGGTGTGCTACTCTCAATGATGACTCCTTTGCAAATTGTTGATCATCACAATAGGTGCTTGTCTATCATTTTGCTTATTTATTTTCCCGTCATCGTCTTGTAATTATTCTCTCTACATCTTCAGATGGCCACTTACTTCAGCTTGGACGATTTGTTGCACACGAAATCACTTTCTGCTAAGTCTGTGCTATCCGACCCGGAGGCTATATTCCAGCACACTTGGCATTACGGCTTAAGTGTGCCCTTGTATACCCATTTCACTTCACCAATCCGGCGATACGCAGATTTGTTGGTGCACAGGCAACTGGATGCAATTCTCTCACAGTCATCAAACAGGGCAGCGTCTGTTCGATCCCATTCCACCCACTTACCGTTGCTAAGGCTCGCATGGAAAGCGGCTTGGTGCAACAATCAACGCATGATGTCACGCCGAGCCCAGGAGGCCAGTCAACAATTGTTTCTCACTGCCTGCATACGAGTAAGCCTTTCCACGTACCAACAAAATTTCATTGCTTCTATCCAATGCAATTTTGGCACCGTGTTGCTTTCCTTACATCCAATTCAGATTGTTCCACCTTATCTGTCCCAACCATGCGACTTCAGCGAGTATCACTGACCACATCTGTCACACTTCTGAGAAACCTCTGTGTGTTTGCGGTGTCCACACTGTAACCGTCGTGACTGTCATGTTGGAGATGGGATGAGCATGTTCTAGTTCTGGCATCATACGTGTCGACCAGCTTGCACATGCCTATTCTTCTGCGGCCTCACAATGCGCATTGTGCCTAATCAACTCGAAACTCCGTCCACAAGATGCGAGAGATTGACGCGAACACATCCGTCGGTCGGATGACACTCCTTAACACTTTGCTAGTTGGCTTACCTAAGCAAAACACTTATGATTGCATGGTAACGGTGACCCCATTGTGAATTGCTTCTTGATTATGGCATGATCAACGTTGGTGCTGCTGTTTCATTCTAGTTTTGTCAACGACAAAAATTGCGTGAAGAAACTCACCGAAGGTTTAACCGGGTCGGATCTCTTCTTCAGCAACCTAACCGCAAATGCTTCGGAAACGAAGAGGCTTCGTTCCACCAATCCCTCGTCTTTCATCAGAAGCAGATCTCGCAAGCGCATGTCAGTAAGGAATGCAGCTTGGCACACTTACAGAGCTAGTCTTAGTCCCGAAACTCGGAACGATTACGTGACCCGGCGTAACCATTGTAACATGCTTGTCCGTGAGGACAAATGGACTCACCAACAATATTTGGCCTGTAAATTTGCCAACAATAAAAAGCTTCTATATAAACATGTTAACACCATTTGGAAAGTGAAGCTCGGTATCCCCCCACTTAACACGCCTCTCAGAGTGGCACAGTGCCAAAGCAGCCAACGCCCTACAGATGCAGTGTGCCCCAATCTTCTAAAAAGACGTCCGCCAGTATTACCTACCCACATCCCTAGCCCCAACTTCAAAACTTACTAACCTCGAAAGACCTTTAATCAACCAGTACCGATAAGCTTATATAGTTTAGAAACAAACTGACCGATGTTGGCTATGAAGTAAAAAATGCGCCAATAAAATAAAGTGTGCACTTACGAACAGACACCCACGAGCGTTACGCGAATTGCGCGATAAGGATTTCGTTATAATGAAGCTTACTCTGCTTACTCTGCGAGTTGTCCCCAAGTAGTGCGATGTCATCGGCATAATCTAATTGAGTTGCTCACTTACCCGGTAATGGTTGAAGACGAAAATGTTGGTAACCTTCAGAGTTCTCTACAGAACATCTTCAATCACAAAATTGTAGAGGAACGGGAACACAGGGCAGCCCTATCGTACCCGATATTGACAGCGAAAGACAAAGAAGGCCTGCCATAGACCCTCCCTATGTCGGAGACATGAACCTAGAGTTCTCGCAGGATGATTGTGTACTTTTCTGGGGCCCCGTTCTTTGGCAAGCAACGCTAAAGCGGAGATTGATCAACCGGATCGAATGCAATTATAGTTTGACTTTAGTAGAGGTGGCGATGCTCTAGGATTTGCCGGAGCGTGGAGATTTGATCCACACACCCACGGCCAAGACAGGAGCTAACTTGTTCCTCCCCGTACTGTGATTCACGAATCGTGAATAGTACGAAGTTGAATGGCGGCCGATAGCTTAGCGCATAAGATGCTAGCAACATTCTTAAAAATTTGGACAATAGGATACTCGCTCCAGGAAGAAGGTACCTTTTCTTCGGGCTAGATTTTGGCGAAGATTGACGTTAGCTGGCTAATGTTAACTACGCCACCATATTTGAACAGCTCCAGAGGAAGTCTGTGTGAACTGACAGCCTTGAGTCGCTTCAAATGCCGAATTGCAAGACAAACTTCTGCTTCATTGGGAGGGTCAGGTGTAACGACCAAGGGCGGGAAGTTGGATTCACAGGGAGTACAAGTGGACGGTAAGGGCCAACTGAACTGGGAAGGAAAATGTTCGACCCATCACTCCGTCTCTACAGATTAGCACTCGGTGAACCGTTAGCTTCAAAAATAGTCTCACAGACACTAGGCTTCCTGTGTCCATTGGAACGCATGAATTAAAAGACCTTGCGAGTATTGTCAGAGAGGGCAGCGGTCTCTATTTAGGATGCACGCTGAGATCACCAGGCTTCACGATTACCGCGTAGGCTTTGTTTAAGCTACCGATTGGTGGAACGGCGCACTTCTTCTGATACCACTCTGTTGGAATATCCCTGCGGTGGTCAACTAGATCCAGAGTGTGTGGAGATCCAGGCCTTCATAGGGTGCTGAGTAAGATCACAGACTGGCTATACGGAAGCGATCACGGTCCGCTGCATGAACGTTCAGTGTTCACCAATGCCTTGCGGTTGGTCGCTACTGAGTGCATCGGCCAGGGAAGATTGATGGCTCTGCTAAACCGATAGAGTAGACAGTTTGTTTGCGTTTACCTTACAGTGCTTCGTTTTCGGAGACTCTCCGAAACGTATGCAGATGTTCGCACAGGCAAGAACATGGTATGAGTCGAGGAAGGTTGACCAGGTGAATCTGCAATCCTTTACGCTACCCTGCCATCTGAAACTGATATCCATGTGGTCAATCTTAGACTATGTCTAAGTCGCAGAAGTTGGGCGCCAAGTACCAGAACGCCTACCCGATTGCTGGAGGCTGGTGTTCGAGAAGCGGACGATTATCTTCACACAGTTTGGGAAGTCTTTCTCCGATATCTGAGCGGCTCTCATCGAGCGCATGGTGACCAACGAGTTGACTTCACATGATGATAAACGACCAATCTGTGTCTTGAGGTCCCTAACAAAGATTTGCAGGTTCTACTCAAGAGCTGGTGAAGTTCACGGTAGAAATCGTCATTGACCGAGTCACAACTGCAATCATTTGGAGCGTAAGCTGTGGTCATAGACAAGTTGCGTCTCTCCTCTTGATGTCTGTTGATCTTGTACGATCCCCGAAGCCGAACTGCACACAGTCGGCTAGTAATCTGGAACCAGTCCAGCAATGCGACCTCTGCTTTGATACTTAGTACTGCACCAACGCCAGCCCAGCCAGCAGCAGCTGCTTCTGTGTCACCAGATAAAGATAAGTGAAATATGGCTCCGTGGTCGGTGGGAGATCTCAATTCAATCACAATACTGTGATCTTGCAAGCGCGTTTCAGAAAGGCAGCAAACCTCGATGGCGAGAAATTCCAAGGTGTGCGCGAGACCAGACTGTATGAGCGTACGCACATTGAAGCATGCCAGACGGAATGAAGACTATGGCCGAAGGAGCTCTGTGGTCGTTGACGGGCCACTGGGATTGATCGGTTGCAGCCGTGCTTGTGTGGCTGGCTATAACATCCAGACACTGGTTCTCAAAGGGTCCCGAAGAGACGAATCCTCCGTATAGTGGAGTCTCGTAGTTTTTCTCTCCCACACTGCACTCTACGACCGGCAGATTCATCCTGATTCGGACTCTTCAGGTAGCGATAGATTGATCTGGGATTGACGGCTTACGCCTTGGTTGAAGCAAACCGTGCCCTCAGTGGAGATTACGTCACATTCCACGGTTACTTCGAGAAACAACAGCGGCATCCATATGGTACTTTTCCAAATGTATTATGATTGTCAGACTGAGTGTAGCTGTAACGAATCTCATTGCAAATCTAAGTCATTCTGTCGGGCGATTTTTGCTCATTTACTTAGAATTATTTGTGTTTTGTCTACCTGTGTCAGGGTAATTCACAAACAATCGCAACGACACTGTGCCCTAGCGTTGTGCGATGGTTTACCTACCCCATTGACCTATTGAGCTATGCTGGGCGGCACTTTCCAAGTGTCTTCAGAGCCACTCATAACAGACAGGCCAATGTTTATGGGTCAGACTAACTGTCTCTCAATCCTATCCTCTTCCGAGGCGCTCTTCCTTTAAAATTTAGCCATGGGAGATAACAAGTCTTCGGGTTATAAGCTCACAGCTTGATTAGCATAGAGCACGAACGCCATGCATTGTCTCTACGGTGGAAGGGAACCCCCGGTGCTCAATGCTTTGCTACCACCCGCCTCAAGCCAGCCATCCCCTGGTCAAATTGGTGCAAACCCGCCGACTCCCACCTGCTGCTGGCCGTCGTCTCAGGTGCGTAAGGTAATATGATCGTAAAACAAATGTGAGTGATTCTAAATCATAAAATGCTGTGTGTGGCAGCCCTCAAGCAGCTCCCAATGAGTTCATGCGATCACACTCGCCAGCTGGACTTGCTCCACACTTCATTGTGGATCAAGCTATTGAGCCAAAGGATGGAGTCTCTCAAGCAAACCTCCATGTACTCCACTGCCTTGTGGGTCAGACCGTTGAGTCCAAGGCTAGAGGCAGGGCACCTCGAACAACCTCCTCGTGGTGCCAGCTGGGTGGTTCGGGATTTTCCCTTTCCAGCAAATGATTCGGCGGCAGTGTTCCCGGACGTGGTGGGTTTTCGCCTGGCAAGCGTTTTCCCTACACAAAGCCACATATATCCGTTTAACAACACTATGACGTCGCGGACGTGACTAGCCACTAAATAAATTCACGGCCCCTTGCTTCATCCTGGCGAAGCATTGTATTCCAGCAACTTTGTGCTGTAATTCTGGGGAGCATTGGGCCCCTGTTTGACAAAGGAATAAACGAAAGGCGTATGAACTGAGCAGTCAGTCATCGACTCCCAATGGGCGCGATTCCCTGAATTCGCTCCGCTGCATTGCGGGCAGGGTATTCAGCCAAAGGCTCGGGGTGGTGTCCCCTAAGTCAACACCCTACTTCGGCTTGGGCAACCGGGTAGTATCTTGCCCTCTGACGAAACCATGTACTTTAATGTGTTGTGTTTTCTTTTACAATTTCTGTACCTTCTTTTGTGTTCCATGGTTTCTGATGGCTCTATGTCTATTCATAGACTGTTGCAAATGTAAATATATATACCTCGAATAAAATCCCTCCCTCGGAATGGGCACTCAGTAACATCCACTCCCTTGACAACGTTGACAACACTCCCCCTACTTATTTTTCTCCTTCCTCCCCCCTCTTCTCTTATTCGTCTATTGAGCAAAGGACTACCACTGACCTCGCAGTTGCTTCCATCGATACACGTGGCTCTTCCACCAAACCTAGAGTTTAATTTCACATTAGTTCCTTTAACATCCGCACTCCAGGTCAGATCGGCCAACAGACAGCACTGACTCTCACTCTTCACTCTCTTCGTGCTGATGTGTGCTGTGTTTCAGAAACACGCACACAGGATAACAGCATCGTGACGAATCTTCAACTCCCTGGTTTTGAATCTGACTACGGTGGCTACACACTTTGCATCTTTGGCGATGCTAAGTCAATGTCTCAAGGTATGTACGGTATAGGTATCGCCCTCAGCAAACATGCTGAAGGCAGTCCGCTCGAGACTGGATATCGGTGAACATCCGCATGTATGCAGTTCGACTTCGAACCTTACCATAGTTAATAAGAATTGTCTGAAGAAAAGATGCCCTTTGCATCGCCTCAGTTTATGTCCCTGCTAAATGCAGTTCAGAGGGTATCAAAATCGATGTCTATCGACATAGCTCATCTCTTCTTCGCATGGTAAAGAATACTGACATCGTCATCATTGCTGGTGACATGAATGCCCAAGTGGGTCGACTTTCAGACTATGAACATTATTCGGACGACCGTTTTGGAGTCTATGCAGGCCGGACAGACAACGGTAATCGATTCACGTAACTGTGCACTGACCAAAACCTTCGTCTTAGTAGTACTCCTTTCCAGCACAAACGTCAGCACCGCGTTACCCGGCGCCCGCCGAATCCATCAATGATCTGAACCCAAATTGACCATATTGCCATCAGCTACAGATGACGCACATCAATCCGAGACTATCTGTCAATTTGGAGCACGTGCCTGGACTCCGACCATGCTCTAGTGCGCGCACACTTGGCCCTCACTCTTCCCGCTTCAATGAAGCGCCTATCTTCTAACCATCTTACCTGTAACTTGAACTCGCAGTCTGTGGTTCAACAGTATTACGACGAACTAGTTCACTAATTGTTAGTGATAAATGGGGTTATTGAGCCGAACGCTGACTGGGATCATCACAAATGTGCCATGAAGAATGCCTTTGACGCATGCTGTGCACCGAACTTGAGACGTCGTATCGGCGAATGGCTCTCTGTGGCGTCGATCAGTTTGATCGAACCACTGAAATGAGTTCCAATGGGCACTGAGTTTCACCGTGTCCGTAACTCTCTGAAACGTCGTCTGACAAGGAGTCTCTGAATCGACCACGAACGTTTGTGAATGGCTAAAGCCCTTGAGTAGGCCAATGCTATTGGGAACAGCCGAATACTATTCCAGCTCATTCGAAATATGGACCCTGGAAACCCATCTCTTGGCGAGATTGGTTGTGAAAGACGGGTAGCTGATACCATCCCAGCTTCGTCTACTAGCGTGTTGAACGGAACACTTTGAAGCGCAGTTCAGCAGGTCTGCTGCGACACTGCCGCTTGCCGAATCATCTGAACCGACGTGGGAAGTACATGTCACACTTCCCACTTTGGGAGAGATTCGACATGAGCTTTCCGTGTTGTAACGAAACTAGGCTCCTGTGTCTGGCGACTTTTCCTCATATTTGCTGAAAGATGGTGCTGACTCTTTGTTGACTGGACTTGCTTTTCCATTTAAAATGATTGGGAACACTGAAGAGGTGCCTTCAGACTGGCGGCTGTCAGCTGTCGTGCGCATCTTCAAAAAAGGTCAACGTATTTTCTGCGAAAAACATCGAGGCATTAGCCTCATTTCCGTCGTACCATAACTCCTCACGGGTGTTCTTCGACGACTTACTTGTCCTTTTGACAACGGAATCAATAAAAGCTAGGCTGGCTCCCGCCCCAGTCTTGTTCGGTTCGCTCACATATTTACTCTTCCCCAAGTTTTAGAGCAGAGAAACACATACAAACGACCGACTATGGTAGTTTTCCTTGACTTCAAAGCTACCTACGACTCTGTTGACCGCGCCGGCTTGTAGCATTGCCTATCCATGAAGGGCTTGCCGGCTTAATTCCCTTCCATTATGCAATCGCTCTACCGTGACTCTCGAGGACCTGTAAGTGTCTACGGGAAACTCTCCTGAGTTATCCACAACAAATAGTGTTCGCCAGGGTAAGCTCTATATCTCTTTACCTCTTCAACTTTGTTACCGAAATGATCATGTGTGACTCTGTTCTTTCAGACTTTTCCTGAGGTAAACTTCTGCCAGGTGACTGACTGACAAACCTGGAGTATGCGGACGACATAGCTCTTCTTGGGTCTGACGCAGTGGCTATGCAAACACTGTTGACTGGACTGATGCGCAGCGCTGCACTTTTCGGTATGTGCTTTGCACCTTCAAAGTGCGAAGTGCTGTTGCAAGACGGCCGACACGCCTCCGGCTCTGGCTAGCACCGAACAGCCACTGGAAACTAATGGATCGCTTCACTTACCATAGTAGCTGTGTCACTTCTCGTGGTCACATCACTGAGGAAGTTACTTCGCGTATCAGCAAGTCCCGCCTGGATTTCCAAAGACCCAACCCTCTGTGGAGATTTCGTGATATCAGCCTGTCAGTGAAAGGCAGGGTGTATAATGTTGCGGTATATCCTATGGATCAGAGACTTGGTGAGTTCGCGGCGAGTACATTAAACGTTTGGTAATGTTGGACCACCGGTGCTCACCTGGTGGTCTTCTGATGCCTCACTCGAGCGTTTACTGAGTATTAATCGGTTGCGTTGGCTAGGCCAGGTCCTCCGTATGACCGTTTATCGGCTTCTTCGGCTGCATTATACGCCGTGGATGCACCAAGTTGGACGAAACCTCGAGGTGGCCAGTCCATGACATGGCTTAGAAGCATGGAGAAATTGAGACTTTGTCAGGCTGGGATGGGAGCTTCTGGATAGTCCCACACCAATGGTTGGAGACCCTATCAGACTTGGCGCAGCCAGTGGCGTTCCTGCATTCAGTTTCTTGCATCTGGTTGTTAATTTTCATTCCATTCTGATTAGTTTACGCACTACTTTCCTGCTTCCATTCTCTTTACATTCTATTTACCTTTAGCTCCACACTCTTGTCGTTGTTATTTGTTGTTGTTCTTGCGATGTAAGTCGTGGCAACTGGATCTACCGCATTTCGGTGCTCGGATCATGGTTGATCAACAGAACAACATAATTTCCAAGAAATTTGACTGAGTTCGTTTTGATGTGCCCATAAGAAGAGCCTTTTGATGTACTTTTATTGAGAGTTTTACGCCCTAGCCTTGAAGTCGTCACATTGCCAACCGTGTATCCGGAAAATTACCAGACTGCGATGTTATCCTATTGGAACTTGCCAGTAGCACGCATCTCCTTTACTTTGTCAGCAACCGAACCCAATCACAGGGTTGCGCCGCTGCCAAGCAGTTTATATCACTGGGCCACGGCGGCAGACCGTTCTGAATTTTGCAAGCGGACTACTATATAGCGCAACTCGTCTTTCTCATCATACAGGTCACAAATTCTGCAGGGGACAGGGGTTGCCGAGGGTGTCACGGCTTCCCACAACAGCAGCTATGTACGATATAACTAGCTGATCCGGAAGCTACTACCATGGACTCGCTCTGTTCGTTTTAACACGGATCTCTTGTGGCTAACATCTGGGTTTCTTGTTCGACCGTTTTGCACTGTCTCATGTTTCCTCTTCATTGTTCCCAACTTTCACACTTCAACATTGATTGCAACCAGTGCTCGACCGAGGTTACGGTGTCTAGCAATAGCCGTCACGTTAGATACTTATTTTACATTAGGACAACTGTTAAATTAGTGTCGTCCAACCCTCCACTTTTTTCATGACGCCTCCGGTTTATCTCGAGTTCAGCAATTGGTATCTATACTCGTGGACCGATTAACATCCCCGGTTTGATTGAATGTATGTAGAATCATAACTAAATCTTGTCCCTCGGCCTACCGACGCGTTTGGGACGATTTTTCGACTTTTATCTCGGTGGGTATACTGCGAGCCCCCGTCATACCAACTGTTGCTTTTCCACTCACAGGACTGCGGACCACTTCGCATGGATGCCACGGTGTTGGATCTGACCAACTCTAATATCAAAGTCTTCCTGTCGGATTTCGGAGTGATTATCAGCTGTGCACTGAAAAAGGTGAGCATTTTTCATATGGTACCGTTGCCAACCTTGTGTGTGCATGCTCACTTGGTAATAACTATTCCTTACGATGGATTCCAATATGACTTTCCGTTTCTCTAGCTCGGAAAACTGCGACTAGTTTCGTCATTGTTTGAACTCTTAAAGCTGAAGTGGCCGTAGCTGTGAGTGGAACTCGGGACTTAGTGTTTGGCGGCTGACGCCTACATAACCAGACCATTGAGCTCCATAAGTGTAACCTGACACCGCGGTTTGAGAACCACTACTGGATTTTTGATTACTCGCTGTATGTCGGTTTGTCGCATGTGGTACCATTTGGGCCCGCGGCTGGCTTTGAAGAAAACCTCGATAGTTCCGGTCACTGCGAACGTATCCGAAGTGAATGAAGTTCACTCATGTTCACTACGGATATTACGACCGATTTCGTCTCTGTTTCATCTAATCGGGTAGAGACAGCCTGAGCTGGAAGTGGAACCGGTGATTTCTCGAAACCCTATGGCCGCCCGGGTCATGGCGGATTCCTCTACAAGCTATGGAGTGAGTGATTCTGTCCTGAGTTCCATAAGTAGCTTCCATCATCAACGTCGGATAAATAGGGAGCACGCAGCGTCTTTCTCTACCCAATTTTGTGTTCGATGTGATCATCGTCATCAATTGTAGTACGCCACTTCTTTGAACTGACGCTCCATTGCCATCCAACCATGATGGACCGTACCATAAGAAATAATCGGAGTGGTAGTTGGTCTAGTGCAAAACATAAATTTTTTACTCAAACACGCAGGGTCTAGGTGTCCACCTTGTTACAAACACGTGTTCACAAATAGTTGGCTGTTATGTGAATCAAAAAGCGTCATCGATATAACAGCTTCTTTTCGGCCTCACGTCATAATCAGGCCCACATGTAGCCCGACTAGATAACAACAGACGTGCCACTGGTTACGCACCATGTCCTGTGGAGCCCTGAGTTAAGCAAAGGCTAACCCTAGGTCTCCATGCTATAAAGATCAAGCGGACAAACAGCACCCAGTTTGTCTCTCAGTGCCTTCACTCCCTAGCTGTCAAGTCAACTTTCTTTCAGCGTCGAGTCTTGCGCCATCCGAATCCCGGCAAAAATAACAATAACCTTTTGTTCGGGTAAGCGGCATTACATCTGCTCAGGACAACACAAATTTTCCATTGTTATTTCTTGTTCTGCAGAATTAATCTACCTGTCACATCGTGACCGACGTGTTATTGAAATCCAACACTAGCAGCTGCTCCCCGGACAGACAAGTGTGATTAAAAACTGAAAGGCATTTGGGATCCACCATTACAGGTCTCACAGTGACTTGTGACAGCCCCGATCGGTGGCTGAAAAGGAGTCCACCGTTTCGAATTCGCGTAGGCGCGAGCGACAATGCGTTATATCCAACCATACACGACCAGTGGTGGTCGCTTGGTAGAAAAGTATCAGTACGGTGTGCCGATGTGCTGCTGAGGCCCTTTTGTGACAGCACTACAGCGAGGTTTGTAAGGTGATCGATGGACTCGTGGCGGGGAACTCGTTGATGTCTGCTCTGTATTCTTTTATGGCTTCCAGGAAGAAGGTTTGCACCCAGCATGTAGATAAAAAGCACTCAACAGCATAAGTATCCAACATTGATATGATGTTGTTATACAACCATAATGTTCATACTATTACTGAAGAAAAATAATAGATGAGAAGATGGAGTCTAGTGTGAGAGCTAAATGCCCTAAACAGACCTTCAAGCGCGTACACCTTACGAACACTCCACTGCCACAGCTGACTGTTGTGTGGAGATAAGATCGAATCGGCGAACGATTTCTGTACAGCCTTCACTGCTCCATGTCATGTGAGCCGTCCCGCAGACAACTCGGCACAACACGTAATTAAAAAAGCCGTTTCACTGGGGTCTGAAGCGACCACACATCACTGTTTCATGTCGCGACACATTTCCTGTAAGTTATCGAACTTGGTTGGCGAGACTGATCCGAATCACTCGATTTAGTCATTGGTTACTTGGCGCTTCCAGTTCTACGCCTGCTTCCGAGTTTTTTATGAAACTTCACCACACTCCAGTCATTTTTCTTGGTTGAAACACCAGGATGCTGCCTTCTGGTTCTGTTTAACAGAGCACTTGATCGTTCGCACATTCTTTCTGCCTAGCACTTAATTCAAGACTACAACACCTGATATCGTGTATCATCACAGATCACAACTTAAGGCTTTGTATTAGCAGTGGCAGTTAGATGCGGTAATTTGGTGCCCGTTACTGTGAGTGGCGGCACCTTAGAAGCGACTCACCTTTGTCATTCCCGCTCTTGCACACTTCACCACAACACTCTCATTCTCTTTGTAGTTCATGATTCACACCCAGAAATGGGACGTCATCACAATCGACAGACAAGACGATTCAGATGCCAGCACATCCAGTTCCGCTGGAAAGCAACCAGGAATCGCAGTGATCGTTGAATGCGATTCGGAGACGACGCAACAGCCCTCTTCTTCTGATCGAACCGTGTCTCGAAAGGAATTTCGTTGCCTATCCGTGATACCTTGCCGTGTTTACAGCCGAAACGATCGCCTGGTTATGCACGCCGAGTACTTCCCGAACGACGATCCTTCAGAGTCGGACGACATGGAACACCACGACTCGGTTTCACCGTGATGGCAGGAGCCTTATCAAATTACTCTAATGCCACCCATACGTCGACGCGAAGGCCAAGACGCCAGACGTGTTTTGTTTGTACATCCTAATCGTCCCTTTTGCGACACGTGTACAAATTGTTCAATACTTTTCTATTTAGAATGATGTTGATGAACGTCTCGCCCTCTTCACTGTCTTTCTCCGTACTCTGTTGATTTCGATGCAGGTCCACACATTCTTGCATTAAAGCCACGTCCCCCTCAGCGCTATGATATTGATCGTTCTCGATAACGAAAATCCCTAGGCATTTACAACTTGCGGTACCGAAAACCCAACTCCACCGTCTACACTGTGTGCACTATATATATATATATATATATATATATATATATATTGCATTCAAAAAATTATCAACGTTCCATGTCATTCCTTGGTTTCGATTTTCGTCACCCACTTCACGTCACATACTTCAGCTACATTTGATGCACTTGTGCACTTGACCTGAGCCGAATTTCGCAGCTTGCGCTTGTAACCAATCGTGTCCTCGACTATGTACTAAGCTGGCCCTAAATCCATGTCTTCCTCAACTTGCCCTAGACGGGACATAAAGTTAGAAATGAGAAGCTGTTCACTTGGTACATACTAGCGATTCTTCTCGTTCTGTGCTGTTCTCCCCAATAGAGCAGCAGATTCCGATTTGGGATAGGTCGTCTGCTTTATTTGCATGTGTCCCGCAATCGCTCTGCTCTGAGATTACCGGTTCGAATCCGCGTAGGTGCGGGTAACCCTGAGGTATGCCCAATCCTCATGACGGCGAAACATCGGTGCGGTGTGCAGGCGTACTACTAACGACTTTTTACTTTTTGAACGGTCTTGGAATGCAATAATCGGGGACTGTAACACCGGGAAGTGGCTAGGGTGCAGAGGCCCTAGAGGGCGGCATCAATCTAGTCAGTGTGAATTGAGTTGGATGCCGCAGGACACTTTAGACAAACTAGACACGTGAAGTGGGGTTAACAATTTACTTTAAACCGCCATACACTCGGTGACATCCATATCGAGATCTATTGGCACCGTTGCTGCGAACTGTCGCAGGGCACCTGAGCCTACAAAGTTGGCAGGAGTGGTTTGCGTCACTCCACACACCCATTCGACTTTCCTCATCATTCTACACGTTCGCTGGACGTGAGAAACGCCTGTTATTGTTCCGTAGTACAACTGAGCTAGAAGCCCGTAGAAAAATAAATAGTACTGAGTCTTGTTATTATTATGCATCAGTAATAAGGTCTTGACTGGATAGGACGGGGCTTAAGCAAGAGGATTGACATGAGATTTCACAACACAAGCGCCACTGGGTTCTTCTTCTGGCCGTGTCCCCAGATATCTCCAACTAGATGTGCTCGTCTTATTTGGGATCCCCTCCCGGGAGTCAGCGGTAACAGTCAATGCCAACTTCAAGCTGATCACCTCGTTCTTCTTGATCGAGTCATCGGCTGGCTTCCTTGCTTTCTCTCTCCATCCAGGTCGCAGGAGTCGGTGTGCCTTCACACGTGATAAAGGGTCTAACCATCGGGATCTGATGGGTGAAATGACAATGCTGATTGGCTCATTTACTTTCCTTGCGTCACAATCAGGGCGGCGCTGTTCCCACCAAATGTGAGCACCGGTAGTCGAACGCAACTAGCCACTTTACATCTGCCGATCTGATGAGCAGTGTTTAGCGATCATACAGAAGATTTGAACGGGAGGCTACAGTGTTTACTCTACCATCCGGAGCGGAAATTTGTTTACCCACCCCATAGGTAGCGAAGCTTAGGAAAAGCATCACCATCTTTTGTCACACGGTCTATGAACCCATTTACTCCATAGGCACTGCCTAGGTAGTTGGATTTCTGGTCGATATCAACCTGATCCCAACCAGCGCAAGAGTTGATCCTCAACAATCTTTAAGCAAAGCTCTGCACTATGATGGTGCAAAGCAGTCACCGTTGATCTGCCTGGTACTGCTTAACACGTTTGTAAACGGTAACGGATTAAGCCAGTGTCGGGAAAGTGATCATTCGGAAGCAACTTCTCACTAACTAAATCGTGTTCACTGAACGGTTTCCAAAATTTCGTCAAAATCGACGTCGAGGAAGAAATGTTTCAGCGTGAATCCTTGTCTCACACTTGAAGGTATTTGAGAACAGCGGCAGCTTGTCTTCAAATCCTCATCATGTCCGAATTGCGCGCGTAGTGCGCCCCGATAATTGCACATTTCTCTTGCATACCTTTCTTAATCAGGCACTTTCAAAAGTGGCCGTCGGTCCACGGAACCGAAGGAGCCTTTGATTTCCAGAAACATGACTAAGGTTGTTCACCAATATACGCGGCATTGCTGCAACAACAATGTGGGCTCTGCCTCAAGGAGAGCTTGCCTGTTCTTCGAGAATGTGAGTTCGTGAACGCCTGTCACTTTGATGAACACCAGGAATAAGCAACTTAGTTGCGATAGGCTATCAGACTGATACAACTTTAACTACCGCATTCCGACAATGAGCTGTTATTGAGAATCGGACTACCCTGCTAATCAGCTCCAGTCGGTTGGCTGTAAGATCGTGGCAGTAGGTTCCTCATAGCGCGGAGGCTAGTGCCTGATTCATTTCTAAACTAGACATTTGTGGGCGGTATGCGATGGCCACCAAACAAGTATAACACTGACTTAAATGTAGGTGACAATAAGGAGTCTACGGTTTGAACTCCTGGATCGTTTGCGCGGCCGATATGTTGGCCAGACCGAAGGTAAAGAATCACACCGTCTCATTTAGTGGGTCGGTCGTTGCGCAAGTCACATACTAGGTCATACGATCTCAGCGCCGGTAAGCACGTCGTTCAAATTTGTCTCAGTTATCATTATAACATCCGAAGACATTGAGGGTTGACGAGATAAACGCTCGACCAATGTAATAAAGCACGTTGCGTTTGTATACAACCAGTTGAGATCTTCAGATGCCGGAGGCATATCTGAACACAAATGTTTCCTGCTAATTTACGCCAACCCTTGTGGAGCCGGCTGACAATCGATCTCTAAATAGATTTCTGACCTAATTGCTTCCATCTAAAAGCATTCGCAGCTCCGCATGGAGGCAAAAATGATCGTGACGAGAAGAGACATTTTCCTCTCAGTACATTTCAAAGGGGACACAGTTCGAGCTCTTGAGTAAGAAACTGACTTCCTTGTTAGACCAAACATACCCGGCCGCAAGAGTCTGCATCCACACCGAAACCGTTCCGCTCATCACCCACCGCTTGAAAGACAGAATTCCGGCCCAGTCCGAATCTTTTGTTCGGTATCAGTTCACGCGTACCTGTGGTGCGAGGTACCTCGGACACACGACCAGACGTCTGTTAAAGCAGATAGCGGAACACTATCTCGCCTCATTACAACGTGGAACCACCAGGAATGTCTACAGCTCCATCCTGGAACACCTAATAGACAGTGGACATGACATACAAACGAAAGATACGTTCAGCATAGTGTATCTGACAACGCCATGAGACTGGACCTTAACGTGGTCCGATGGTTTGTGTGTCTCAGTGATCCATTGAGCTATGCTGGGTGGTGCTTTTTGCACCTTCACAGCCACTCATACCAGATTGGTCAATGGTCAGAGGCCAGACGAACTCAGTCTCCTGACGCTCTAGGTTGGGGGTTGGAGTGAGGGTGGCTCCTTACTCCATATAACGGGCTCTCTGTAGTCCAGTGCCAAAACCCCGCTGTCTTGGTTTTAGAACCAAAGGCTTTGGTTGAGAACCCTAATCGTCCTTCTGTCTAGGCCTGGCTAACCTGACATTATCCTGCCAACGCAATACACTGTGACCTTTCCTTCTAATAAATGGCGCTTTATTTGCTGCATCGAGCAGGGTAGATAGGGGTTTGGATGCCACTGCTCAAGCCTCCTGCCCGCTGTCACCTTTCCTCTTCAACTTCGCTATTGACGAAGTCATGGAGTTTGCATTTACAGGACATGACTTGGAAGGTGTGGAGCTACTCCCAGGAGAACGACTTCTTGACTTGGAGTATGCTGATGACATCGCCCTCATCTGTGACAGCTCCCAGACGTGCCAAGCCGCGCTAGACAGATTAGCACTGGCTGTCAGCCGCTTCGGGCTTTGCTTTGCACCATCGAAGTGCAAAGCGCTCCTCCAAGATTGGCAGGGATCGCCTCCTGCACTGACCCTTGGTGGGGATCAGCTAAAAGTCGTTCAGAAATTCGATTACCTGGGAAGTTGTATCAGCGCCCTTGGGATCGAAGACGAGATCACGAACCGTATAGCGAATGCTCGAAGTGCTTTTGCTAACCTTTGCCACCTTTGGCGGCGGCGCGACATCACTCTCGCCCTGAAGGGTAGAGTGTACAATGCAGCGGTACGTTCGACCTTACTGTACGGTTGCGAAACCTGGCCCATAAGATAGGTGGACATGAAGAGGCTAGTTAAGTTCGACCATCGGTGCCTTCGCAGTTTGGCTCACATATGGTGGGAACACCGCGTGAGTAACGAGCGTGTTCGACGCATTGTTTACGGCCCAGGAAAAGGATCTGAACCGCTCAGCACCGTTATTTCCCGCACCAGGCTCCGATGGCTCGGCCACGTGTTACGCATGCCAGCCCACCGACTCCCTCGACGTGCGTTGTTTGCTCACCGGGGATGTGGGTGGAAGAAGAGGAGAGGTGGCCAAGCGATGACTTGGTCCAGCGGAATGAAGTCCCTCACCTCGGAGCTAGCCTCGGTTGGAGCTTCACGGCTCCCTGGTTGGGGTCCAAAAGACGGTGAACACGTTTGGCTGGATACACTTGCTGACATGGCAAGGAGCCGACCTCAGTGGCGTTCATGCTGTGAGTTTCTTTGTCCCTCCCCATCCCTTTTAGCCTCCCCATCCATCTACGATCTCATTTCCTAGGGTAAAACATAATATTTTATCTTTTTGCCTAGTAGCTAGCTGGAAGCTTACCGGAACGATGCCTATCCGTTGCTGGTAGCTCAGCTGGCATGCAATTGTTGTATCTACTTCTTCTTTGTGTATTGTATGTATGTATGTATTTCCTTCATGTATTGCGGCACAATAGCGGAGGTGTTTTTCCCAACTCTAGCTGATGTGTATAATGATGATGAATGATGCTCAAGCCTCCCTGTCTTCTTATTCCCCCTCTTGCGCTTTTTCATCCCTAGCGTCCCATTCCAACTTCATTTTCAGTCGCCCGATTCTAGGCCTTCCCCC